TACTTCAAAAAGGTTTTTTTTTTTTTTTTTTTTTTTTTTTGCAGTACGCGGGCCTCTCACTGTTGTGGCCTCACCTGTTGCGGATCACAGGCTCCGGACGCGCACGCTCAGCGACCATGGCTCACGGGCCCAGGCGCTCCGCGGCATATGGGGTCTTCGCGGACCGGGGCACGTACCCGTGTCCCCTGCGTCGGCAGGCGGACTCTCAACCACTGCGCCACCAGGGAAGCCACCAAAAAGTTTTTTAAAAATAGCTTACATGAGGAAAGATGGTGAGGTGAAAAAAGCAGTGAGCATGGAGTTTTGAAAGGTCTGTAATTAATTCATGATTTACTTGCATGATCTCAGGCAACTTATTTAATTCTTCTGAAGAGAAACGTCCTTCTCTGTAAAATCAACACTGTCTCTGTCAGTTAAGATTGTGTTCATATATATCTGAAAACTTAGCAATGGCTGAAACAAGTAAAGGATGTATTTGTCTCATGGACATGAACTTTGGATGTGGGCTGTCCAGCGCTGGCATGGAGGATCAGTGATGTTACTGGTGAACCAAGATCATTTTACTGTCCTTAGTGCTGGCTGCCATTCCTCAGGCAACTTGTGTATCCCAGCAGGGAGAGGGAGGAAGGGGAAAAGGCACCATCAAGTGACTTCTCCCCATCTTTCATTGGCCATAGATGAGTCGCATGGCTATCCTTAGCTGGAAGAGGGCCTGGGAAGGCAAGTTTTTGTTTTCTAGCCTCTATAGCACAGAAAAGAAAGCAATAAGGGGTTGGATTGTGCGTTGAAGGAGCCAACCTACAGCATCTACCCCAGGTACAATAAGAGTAACTAGCCCACACTGTCGTTGAGAAGATTTAAGCATATACAGAATTAAAAATTTGCTTGAAAACTACAACATTGCAAACAAAACAAAACAAAACAAAAAACATGTTGCTATTTGCTTGCTAATGTCCTGAAGGCCTAATCTGACCAGAGTTTGTAATCCTCTCAAATTAATGCCAGAGCCATCACGGCACCATAATAAAATTCTTAGCTATGGGATGCACGGTAGTGAAAACTGGGTTTGTAAACCCCATGGGCTGTCTCAGGTCAATTCCATCTGTTGAACTAGTAAACTTGGAGGCAGAAGATCTTCTGCATAGCAGGGCTGAACCCCACAGGAAGTATTTCTCACTAGTGATAACATACTAGCAGAATTCCTAGGAAAACCGTTGTCAGGTTCCCCTGGGAGGTCAGAAGTCCCCAGATCAGCACACTGGATTAAAATATGATAGCAGTATGTACATGACCATAGAAAAGAGGCTCAGTGTTGGGTCCTCATACAGGTCTTTCTTAACCATTCAATCTAAGGTGGCCCTTCACCCTAGTCACACTCCTTCCCATTAGCACATTTAATTTTCTGAAGCACTACTAAAATTATTTGTTTGTTGTCTGTCTGCTCCCCTGCCTTTGAAAACTTAAGTCCATATGAGCAAGGACCTTTTGTGTCTTATTTACAGCTATAAAGCTAGAATCTTGAATATGATAGGTGTTCTAAATTAACCTTTTGGATACCTTTCTATCCACTTACATATTTTTATTGCTTTAATGTCACAGAGATCACATAGTACCCACGTTTTGCTCTTTCGAATATCTTTGACCAAAAGAGTATTTTTACCTAGGTCCTGGGGATAGATATGGGGGGAAATGTTTAGAATTGTTGAGTGTGGGTAAAAGAAAATTAGATTCTAAAGAAACAATCTTCTAGGCAGATTTCAGTCATATTAACGCTAGTATTTTAGGTGTAGAATGAATTATCTTTGTAAGACTAAGTGACAGAAATGATTTGATTTTAAATTTGTACTTAACACTGTTTAAACTGACATATTTCCCGTTGTTGTATAGGGTTTTTCTTTGAATATGTTCAGATATTTAAACCTCAGAGAGACAAGATTGTGCTGTGTCATTTGTGGAAAAGATATGGGTACCTAAAGCCCAATGGGGAACATGAGAACTCTTAAAGCAGTTTTCTGCAACCAACATGCTGTTTGCCACACACTCCCAGCTTCATTATTACTGGGAAGAGTTTTTTTTTTTTTTTTAAATCTAAAATATTTTGGCACCTTCTTTGCTCAGATAGCTATATTTAGTTATTTTTAGAAGTAGTTAGTTTAGAAGAGTAGTATTTTTATATTTAGTTATATTTAGAATTAGTTATTTCTACTTCTTCCTGTAATCTGATATTAGCACACATCTTCAAGGTCCTTGGGTCCTGGCATTAGATTGGTTGAGATGGTCTAATAGGAAGAAGATAGACCCACTGACAAAACACATGAGGGATCCACTAGAGGGCAGCAAAATGCAAATCAAATTTAAATTTGCCCCCAGAAAGGCTGCTACTGTATTATCACAAAAATTTGTACTGCAAGTAAGATTTCTTAAATGCAAAACATTCAGATTAGATCAGTGATGTAAAATAATTTATGCACAAGTATTTCTCCTTTCTTAGAAGTAGTGGTCCAAGAGCAAAATGAAAATAGAATTGGTTTCAGTCCCAGCTCTTTCACTAACTGCATGATAAGGGGCAATCTACAGTTTGCCTCTCTGGTCCCCTTCTATGATATGTGGATTTGTACAAAATGATTCTTAGCATTCTTTTCAACTTCTCTGAAGTTCCACGGTTTTATGATTAATGATTCTATTTAAGTCATTTAAAATCTTGTTGATTAGGGTATTACATTATTCAACCAACCATAACTTGACATTAGTGGAGATTCTGTTTGGAAATACCCACCGTTATTTCATGGAGAACTTAGGTCCCTGATATGCATTGATTTTCCTTCTTAGTAAAATGACACTTCTGCCCCCAGTCTTTAAGAGCTCTCATGTTTAATAGCTTTAAGAGTTCTCATGTTTCCCATTACTTGTATATAATCTAGTGACAATAGTGGTTGCAGTGTTTTCTGCAATAAATTTTATGATTTAAGCTATCAACACAATCTGTTTTTATTAAAACAAACAAACAAAAAATCCCACAATGATCTTGTGCATACCCAGGTTGTTCTCACTCTCCATTTATTTTCCTTTTAAAGCACTACACATGTGAACTCAGTATTAGTTACTCTACCAAACTTCTAAAATCATTAAGAAGGTTATATGTATGTATGTGTGTGTGTGTATGTGTATATATATATATATATATATATATATATATATATATATGTATATGTATGTATATTTTTTAAAATCGTTGGCTTGAAGACCAAGGAAACTGTGACTGAGAGTAGATAAAAGAGCACGTTAAAGATCTGAACTACTGTGATGTCATCATTCATTTGGTCAACCATTTTGAGCTTCTGCATGTGACTGATTTTGACAGTCAGTTAATTCAGTTACTCTTCGCATTTGTTCAATGAATGTCATTATAAATATCTACCACAATAACCCATTTTCAGTTTATGCTTGAGCTGTTATTAAAACTGAAACTCTTTTCTAAGTAGCATTTTTCACGAGCACCAATGGATAAAACTGCCAGCAGTTTAGTGAAAGCAGAAGCCATTTCTGAACGCAGACTGATGAAGTGGTCATATTTAACAGTGCACCACATATTATTTAACTATTTTCAACCCTCATTTAGGACACATTTCCCTCCTATATAACTAAGAAAGGAAGAAATATGCCTGGCTGGCAATGAATTTGAGGGATGAAGGAAAATCATCCTCTAAAACATAGTAAACCTATTATTACTATCAGAAGCTACAGGAGGTAAAACAACGTTACAGGTACTCTTGACTCTGCCCTGGTACATTAGCTCATCTGGTGCCGATAAGGCTGGTACCCCTTTTTCTATGACTCTGAAGTCTTTAGCTTCTGCCTCAGTCAGTCGTAGACCCAGCTCATCTCAATGCCTGAAGTCAGTAGCTTGAGATGATAAATCACTCATTTTAATCTATTTGCTTTTCTATTAGAGGGTGAGAAATGTTTAGAGACCTCAACCCCAGAGTCAACAATTTCAGATATAAGTTGCAGTTTCACGACTCTAGTAAGGTGAGCCTTTCTGACATTGCAGTGTTACTAATACAGAGTAAAGGGTAAAATACTGATTACCTAGGTGCAAATCCTGCTTCTGCCTTTATTCTGTGCCTCCATATCCTCATCTGTTAAATGGGGATAGCTGTACCAATTTTGTCGGTTGTTTTAAGAAATAAGTTGATAATGGGCTTCCCTGGTGGCGCAGTAGTTGAGAGTCCACCTGCCGATGCAGGGGACACGGGTTTGTGCCCCAGTCCGGGAAGATCCCACATGCCGCGGAGCGGCTGGGCCCGTGAGCCATGGCCACTGAGCCTGCACATCCGGAGCCTGTGCTCCACAATGGCAGAGGCCACAACATTGAGAGGCCCGCGTACTGCAAAAAAAAAAAAGAAATAAGTTGACACTTGTAAAACTATTATAATAATTATTTAAGCTTATAAATATTAAAATGGTTTCACTTCTTCCTATGCTCTTCCAACAAGATGTAGCCAAGAGTATCAGATTGGAGCTCCTACTCATAATTCACTGTTGACCTTGAACAAGTCACTTCCTCTGGGTCTCATTTTTCTTATTCAGGATCTAAAACAATGTTTCAAAAGTAATACATGTTCTAAGATTGTCTCAGTGGATGTTGTGGAATGAACAAACTTCAAAAATGAGGATATTGGAGCAAATAGATCACCAAGAAACCCTCTAATTTTAATACTTCATGTGATTCATTATCTCTCAAGAGTACCGTGGGGAACACCTGAAATGCCATAGGCTATCAACATTGGGAAACACCACTGCAAAACAGCATACCGTTTACTTAAAAAGAATATTGACAGTATGTACACAAAAAATAACACCCTTTACAGAGGTAATTAATACAGTATTATCTCTGCCAATACTAGACTGAAACAAAGGCCAGAGTAGAAGAATAAAAACACGTTTATTTTGTACAAATCGTCTGTGTACGAGGGACAGAGCAGGGGCAGGGCGCGCCCTCAGAGGAGCAGGAGGGGGCCCAGCAGCAGCTCGCCCTGGCCCAGCAGGCGGCCCCGTTCCAGCCCGCGGCCCCGGTTCTCGGCCTTGACGCGCACGGCCAGGCGGCGCACCTCGTCCTCCGAGCGCCCGTCCAAGCACAAGTCCTGCTCCAAGACCGCCCGGCGGCTCCGCCGGACCACGGCGCCCCGCGGCCGGCGCGTCTGGCCCGGCGACTGCAGGACGAAGCTGACGCGGCAGCCGACGGGGGCGCGGGGCTCGGCGGCCCCTCCGGCCGGGCCCTCGGCGCGGAGCAGCCGGACGCGGAGGCGCCCGCTGCCCCGACTGTACTCGGCCGCCAGGCGCAGGGCGCCGCCGGCGCGGTCCAGAGTCACGGTGCCCTCGGCCTCCAGGCGCTCGGGCCGAGGGTCGCGGGGCGGCGGAGTGGACGTGGCGGGGGCCTGAGCCGGGGACAGGGAGCCGGCGCCGCGCTCGTCGTCGTCGTCGTCCCCGTCCCCGCTGGCGACGGAGCGGGCACTGGCGAGGCCGCTGGTCCTCTGGGCCCGCAGCGCGCAGCGCAGCAGCCCCTCGGGAGCGCGCAGGAGGCGGCTGCCGCGTGGTCGGAGAGTGAGCGTGTCCAGGTGCGGGCGGGAGCCGCCGAGGGCCGCCGGGGGCACAGCAGGGACTCTTCCCGGGGGCGCGAGGGGGGCGTCTCCGCCGCCGCCTCCGAAGGTGCGGGCCCGGGGGCGGGGCGCGGGCAGGAGCGGGGCGGTGCCCGAGGCCCCGAGGAAGAGCGACTCCCTGCGGCGGGTGTGCGGGCTCTCGAGCAGGGCGCAGAAGCCATAGGCTGTACGTGCTCGGGGCAGGTGAGGCAGCGAGAGCGCAGCCTGCGAGCGTGGGTCCCAGTCCGTGCGCCCCGCGCCGTCGTCTGTCCCTGCTTTTTCGCCCCTGGTGTCTTGGATTGCAGCCAGGGTCGGGCAGGGCGCGAGTCGCGGGGGGATGCAGAACTCGGGGATGCGGTCCGGGGTGAGCACTTTGCGCACCGGGAGGGCCTGAGAGCAGTGGCTCGGCCGGCCTGATCCTGGAAAAGCCGGTTTCTGGCCCGCAGCAGGTGCTCGGGTCCCAAGCGGAGCCGCTCCAGGCACCACATCAGGCAGCAGGTGCCGGATGCAGAGGAACCTCTGCTGGAGCTGGTCAGCCTGCAATGCACAAGCACACACGGATCGTCATAGTGAGCCCTGCTGGGCGCAGCAATGCCCATCTCTTCTACTCACGGGGTGCTTCCTCCTGCCTCCCCCAGACCAGGCAAATTGCCCCTCACGCTGCTGTTGCAAATCTTTCAGTGTTTCCCTGACGGTAAAACAATCGTTCTTCGCTATTCTGTAGTAGTGTACACTTTGGGTTTGTTGCCTTAATCTAGACCTGTCCTCTCTGGCCTCCAGGAGGAGATTCTCAAAATGTTTGCCTCGCGCTGTCCTCGGTGCCAGGTGGCACTATGCTTGTGCAATAGTTTCCTGAATCCTTGGATTATTGCACTCAAATCCTCAGAGAGAATTAAAATAATTATTATCCTTTCCAGGATATTCGGCTTGCTCCCCGCTCAAAGCGCAAAGAGCCTCAAACGAGTCCCTGGGGGAGTTAAGGAAGGCTGTAGGTCTCTCATAATGTACCTGGGGTCCAGCGTCATGTAGGTCTCCGCACCGATCCGCCTGGGGCACCAACCTCTAGAGGCGCACAGCCTCTGGGAAGATCAAAGCTCGTGCGGCGGGGTTCCGTACAGTTTAAAGGCAGTCGGCTTGAGCCTTTATACCTGGGGCCTGGGACGCCCGCCAGTGGGCGGGCCGGATTGGCACTGATAGGTAACCTGACGACAGGCCTTCCAACCTTCCCTCTGCCACGTGGCTGGATCCGCTTTCTCTCCTGCTTCAGGTAGGGATGTTTCTGTTTACTCACGTGCAAAAGAGGGCTAAGTCTTTACTATACGGGCAGTCATTGTGAGGATAATGAGTGTGAATCACAGGAGCACTCTACACCCACCAATAAGAGGAGATAGAAGTTGAATCTGTCTTATTCTTACCTAATATCCTCCCCCAAATCCAGCCCTTAGTTTGCCCAGCTTTCGAAGTTCCTTACCTACCTTCTGGTTTTCTGTTCTGATTTTAAATCGTTTTTGTTTGTTGATTACAAACCACTCTGGATACAGGGAACCTTATGGGCTGCTGTAAATATTCTGTATCTTGATCTGGGTGGGGTTACTGGGGTGTATCCATATGTAAAAAAAAATTATCTAGCATACACTTAAGATTAGATATAAGATTGTGTCTTATACCTCAATTTAAAAAATAACAACCCACTTCTTAAACCTTGTGCACTGATGTTTTAATTGGGAAAATATACTCCTGCATACAACTGGGCTGTTGGAACCATCCTTTGATGGCACCTTTGTAGGCTGTGCCCACCTGAGACATCCTTTTCCTCTCTTTTGAAAACTGACCTGTGTTCACTTTGTAAGAGACCTGCTTCCAACTAGCTTAGGTTGAAGGAGATCTGAGGCATTTTGTTCAGCGTTTGGGTGTACACTATTTCTGCCTAAGATACCGCCTTGCAAATTAATTGCTTATCCAAATGATGTTCAGTAAATTAAACTGAACTCATGCAAAGGTGATTTTAGGATGGAGCATGTGCATTTTGTTTCCAGGATATATACGTACACAGCCACTATACTTGATGATTTACATATAGTCTCTGGAATAGTCACATAAACCCTGCAAATTATGATTATTCCTAGTAAGGTATCCAAGTTCACATAATGATGGGAAATGGAAGAAAAATACATACTGATGGGCATAAATGAGTTGTTTTGGGGATTAAACAACTCTAATAAGGTAAAATACTTAGCGCTCTGCTTGGAACATGGTAAGTGCTAAATACACATAAGCTGTGATTATTATTATCATTAATAAAAATAGAAGGGAGGGACTTCTCTGGTGGTGCAGTGGTTAAAACTCTGTGCTCCCAATGCAGGGGACACGGGTTCATGCCCTGGTCCAAGAAGCTCCCACATGCTGCGGAGCAACTAAGCCCGTGCGCCACAACTACTGAGCCTGCGCTCTAGAGCCCGCAAGCCACAACTACTGAGCCCACGTGCTTCAACTACTGAAGCCCGCGCACCTAAGTGCCCGTGCTCCACAACAAGAGAAGCCACCGCAATGAGACGCGCACCGCAACGAAGAGTAGCCCCCGCTCCAAACAACTAAAGAAAGCCCAAGTGCAGCAATGAAGACCCAACACAGCCTAAATAAATAAATAAAATAGGGGGAAAAAAAGGAAAGAAAAGAAAATTAAGTCCGAAATCAGTGGTTTTTTTTTTTTTTTTGCGGTACGCGGGCCTCTCACTGTTGTGGCCTCTCCCGTTACGGAACACAGGCTCCGGACGCGCAGGCTCAGCGGCCATGGCTCACGGGCCCAGCCGCTCCGCGGCATATGGGATCTTCCCAGACCGGGGCACGAACCCGTGTCCCCTGCATCGGCAGGCGGACTCTCAACCACTGCGCCACCAGGGAAGCCCAAATCAGTGGTTTTGACTCTAGAATGGCCGCTCACTATGTGACCATGAGCAAGTTACTTAACCTTTCCAAGCCACAGTATCAAATGTAAAATGAGGAGGTGGGGACTTTGGGAGGTAATGAGATTAGTGACCTTTAAAAGAGACCCTGGAGAGCTCCCTTGCCCCTTCTGATAATAATAGTATCTATCTATCTATAAAATAAGATAATGCAGGTGAAAACTTTAGCCTAGAGCCTGATATACACAATGTCAGATATTTATTGTTACTACAGAAGAGAGCAAATGTTCTTTAGTCCATTTATTCATTCAAAGCAATATTTGCTGAATGCCTCCTGGGTTCCAGCCACTGTGCTAGGCAGGTAGATCCAGGCTGTACAAGATCATATCAACTATGTACCTCTGTCAGAAGAGAAATGAAATGATGAGGATGACATATTTGAACTCCATCTGACTGAGGCAGAAATGAGAAGAGACTGTTGCACACTATTTATATATTTAGTCTGGGGGCAGGGTTGGTGTGTCCCTGGGTTTGCCATGCCCTTGACTAGCTACTTGTTTGTCTTTATATGAGCTCCACTCCTGGCCAAAATTCTTGGTCCATTGCCAAATCTATGGGAGAATGTTTACCACATTATATACTTGAGGGTCACGTGAATGTGTTTTTGACTCATCTTTTCTCAGGAGACAAGATGCTGTTAGCTCAGCAAATGAGAGCCCAGAGACCCCTAGGTTAAAATGGTGAGGCTCACAATCTGAGAAGTTGTCTGAGAAGTTGTTAAGCAGAGCTGTGTCATGAAGGGAGAGATGATTTAGGGGTAAAGAAACATAAACTTTGGAGTTGATCTATCCTAGGTTCAAATGTTATGCAACTTTTTAACTATGGAACTGTGAGCAAGTTAATTAATTTCTTTGAGCCCAAGTTGTATAATGGGGGTTATAATACCTACCACACAAGATTGTTGTGAGGGTTAAAAATGCATGAAATGCCTGGCACACAGTAAGTGTGGCTGTCACTTAGCTGTTATTATTATACAGGTCTGCTTGGCTAGGAATTAGGTGATTCACACATGGATTCCCTTTAAAACATTTCTCTTTCTGGCCAAGCCAAGCAGCATTGCTTTGTTTTTATTAATAATTCACCTTCTTTAATAACACTTTGGAAGCATTTTCTATATAAGGTTTCTTGAAAGAGCAGAGACATGCCCTCGCATGGCTGGTCCCCTGTGATCACATTAAGCCTTATGTTTTACTTACCTTGGAAGCATGGGCCATGCAGTACTTGGGAGGATGGTGTAACAGGATGAGGCTCTGTGCCTGGAACACCCAGTTCCACTCAGAGGAAGACTGTTACCATAGCTTCATCACAGCTATGGGAACTTTCACTGATGGAGCTGAAAAAATTCTGCGAAGTAAGCATAAATAGATCACACACCATCGAGGTCAGAGGTGCTCTTGGAGTAGAAGGATATGGAACCACTTAAAGCAGAACTGCAAAATAATATATAGGAGGTTGGATGTCAAGGAAAGCAAGAAGAAGAGAGTTTGTAACCCAATAAAATACTGGTGTTCTGACTTATCCATCTCATTCAACAGAATTGGAGGGTGGAGTAATGGGAAGTAAACAGACCAGGGAGTTGGGACACCTGGAGTTTAGCACTGATAGTCACTAACTTCTTGTGGGACCCTGGCAAGTCCCTTAATTGTCTCTTGCAGTCAGTGTCCCCTCGATCAAAGGAGAAGGTGCCTTTGATATTTGATGCCTCTGTCTCTGACATTCTGCAATCCACTCCTGTGCTTTCTTCCAGTTAAACTTCCTAACTTTTCTGAAAACCCATGCTGTCATGCTTATTCTCTAGCTTTCTCCTCCATTTCCTTTTCCCCCCAAATCCCTTTTGCTTTTCTCAGCAAACTCCAGGGCTGGGGAATGGGGTGTGGGTATGCGGTAGTAGTGTGACATTGGAATTTCTTATTTTTCAATTTTTAAGCAAGAGTGTTAATTTTTAAAAAGTGTCCCTAATTTTGACTTTTGTTTTTAACAGGAAGAATATTTTGCTCATTTGTTTTTATTGCTCAGTCCCTCCTAGCAGTTTAGCTTTGCAATTGCCCTTGTTAACCTTCTCGTTGTTCTGAAGCAAGAGCCATAATTACTAGAATGTTCATTTCCTTTAGTTAACCTTTGTATCCAAATTCCTTTTGGTATCTGTGCGTTAGAGTGCTAATGGTGTTTCTTTTTTATTTTATTTTACTTTATTTTAGACTGCGTTGGGTCTTTGTTGCTGAGCACGGGCTTTCTCCAGTTGCGGCGAGCCGGGGCTACTCTTCATTGTGGTGCGCAGGCTTCTCAATGCGGTGGCGTCTCTTGTTGCGGAGTACGGGCTCTAGGTGCGCAGGCTTCGGTAGTTGTGGCTCGTGGGCACTAGAGCGCAGGCTCAGTAGTTGTGGCACACGGGCTTAGTTGCTCCGCAGCATGTGGGATCTTCATGGGCGAGGGCTCGAACCTCTGTCCCCTGCATTGGCAGGCGGATTCTTAACCACTGCGCCACCAGGGAAGCCCTAATGGTGTTTCTTAACATTGGTTATTGT